AATTAAAAATGGAAAGAAACTTTTATAAAATAATTTTATGCTACTTTAAGGATTTTTCTTATGAAACTAACGAAAATTTTCCCTATATATAGTTTCCTCATTCGCTTTTGTTTTATCTTAAATGACAAAATAATTTTAGCAACAACGGGTAATAATGATTCCAAAGGCGAAATTCAGTCGAGAAAATACCAAGTTATCTTACAAGTATTTTTATATTTCTTAATCATTTCAAATATTTCTTTTTATTCTTCTAAATCAAGTTATCTATCTTCTTTCTGTATTGAATAATGAGCAACGATGTATTACTTCTGTTTATTTTAAAAATATTTATTTCTTGATTATTTTTTATGTCAACCAAAAAGATAAAATAATTTCTAACGAGCACAATATCGGAACACATTGTGCGTGTTGTGTAATTAAAAGGATAATAAAAAAAACTCAAATAAATGCTTATAATGTTTAAATCTAGCTAATTATCGAAAAAATAATTATACTTACAGCTGAGCAGATATAACAGGTTTTTATTGCTCACTCACGCATGCGCACAAACACATAGTTTTTCTTTATCATTTTTACAGGCAATAAAGTCACTAAGACTCAAGATTGTGAGAGAATATGTATAAAATATATATTATTAAGGATTGAAAACAATAAAAGAAAAGAAAAGAGAGTTCTACAAACAAAACAGTACGAGAAAAGAAACTGTTAGCATAGAACTTACGGTTACATCAAGTGTAAGACATACACATGTACGCGTATTTAAATGCTAAGTCTGTATTAGTTTAAAAGACAGTGGTTATCAAGCTAATGTTACAGACTAGTACTTACATTGTATCGTCGATCTTTGCTGAGTACTTCAAATCTGTGGCCTTGTACCTTACTAATTCAAGCATTGTGCATGATAATGTCATCTTAAATGTATAAAGAGACGTTATTTCAATAAGATGATGAGACGATAATGTCGATTGTCGGTTTGATATTAAAATCAACTATAGATATCTATGATAGTTAGCTTAGCCCAGTACAGTAAGGTACGATGTAGGATAGGTGCGGCAAGAGTGTGCTGCGCCATTCTTTTCCATTTCCTATGATTTGCTTTTCTTAATATCCGTATTCAAAACCGTATTCAAAATATTTGTATTTTCTCACAGATGGAATTATCTCGATCATAAAGCAGAATCATTACAAAGGATAAAAATAAAATAGGCAATACAACAGACAAAAATAGTAACGATGATGATGATGATAATAATTAAATTAACATTCTTATTAATAGTAGAAGTAGTAATAGTCGTATTATTATTAGTAGTAGTATTACTAGTGTTGTTAGCAGTAGTAGTAATATGCATAAAAAATATTAATCATTACAATAATAATTTGTAGAATTTTATGTGCGTCTAGCCGACGGCCATCTGCAAGCAAGCCAGTGACACAGGCTCAGCTAAGTTTTGTATGTAACAAGAAGATTACAATGTTTATTATTTAAACCCCGAATGAGGCCAAATTCACTAACAGAGACAATAAAAATATTATTGATAAATATGATGAAAAGATAAAAATTTATAAATATCAAATTTAGATTAAATATAATACACACACCTACATACATATACAGTTAAAATTTGGCATATTTGGAGGAGAAGAGTGTTTGTTTGAAAATCAAATTGAAGCGTGTGACTGACAGGACACCATGCATTGTTGATCCCGATGTCCAAACTCTCTACCTCATCTCAATGGCTATCTCTCTCTTTCTCTACAACATACAAACTAAGAAAAAAGTAAAATCAAACGGCAGACATCTACTAAACAGTAGCCAACAGTATTGTATACCTATACTCACAAGCACACACACACACACATATATATATATATATATATATATATATATATATATATATATATATATATATATATATATAGCATTACTGCTTGAAAAACCTCGGATGACTCAACTTGTAGACACCTGAGGGCAAATTGGTACCCAAGGAAAAAAATTGGAAATAAAACAAGAAAGAACTAAAACATCAGAACAGAGCGTAAAAAAATCGTCAAGTGTCTCAAGTCTTTAGTCCCTCCCCCCCAAAAAAAAATAAAACCTAAGCGAGTATAAAGACAACGAAAACGTAGAGGGCTCAATACGATAAGTAGAGCTGTAAATTAGAATAAGTCCTAACGAGCCAGGTGAACCTACCTAGGTTTCACCTAAACGGATCTTCAGGGTAGACTGGCTACCCTGAAGATCCGTTTAGGTGAAACCTAAGTAGGTTTGCCTGGCTCGTTAGGATTTATTCTATATATGTATATATGGGTGTGTGCGTGTGTGTATACGAAGTAAATTAATAGGTTCGAGGCCTAATAATAAAATATGCAATATCAAGAAATATTTTTTTTCAAAATAATCTCATTCCTTATCAATGCACTCATTTAAGTTATGACGATTAACCACATATCTCAGATATTATACAGTGAATATTTCAGGTCAAAATAAATTTGGTCTCAATCGGTCTCAGTCTAAATTATTTACCCGTGTCAGCTTGTTACTTAATAAATACATTTAAGTGAAATAAAGAAAGAAGGTCCCTTAAAATACTGGATTTGTATTTGCATTTCCTGTCTATTATTTAAATTTGAAATATTCGTTTTTTTTTTTTTTTTCTTCTTCTTGTTATTGTTTTTATTTGTTTGTAAAAGATGATTCTTTTTACTTGTCGGACACACCACTGCTCAAACGTGCCTTTCTATACGCCTAAGTTTTATTTAAAAAAAAAAAAAAAAGAAAGAAAAAAAGGGCCACGCAACAATGAATTGCATTGAATTAGGGCAGCGGATAATTTTTACTTTCACTTTCGATTTTGCAACATTTAGTTTCCAGGCAAACTTTCTGTACTTCAGACGCTAAAGCTGAAAAGGACTATTTTTTTTTTTTACCCCACCCCAAACAATGAAACAAAATGATGCTTTTATCATTTTGTCTTTTTGATTTTTTGGGGGGATTATATTATATTGATCCTTTATTTAATTTTTATTTCTTTTTTATTCTCTGTGAAGAATACATACGCACATACAGACATGTATTCCCCAGTTTATTCTTAACCTTACATTTCGTAATTTTTCTTCTTTTTTATATTGTTGCTATTATTATTATTATTATTATTATTATTACTGTTTTAACTTTGATCAAGTTAAATATTTACTTGTAATATTTAATTGCGATTTTATATTTTACATCAGTATTAATCTTATTAATTTTGGCATTGTCCATCAAATTATTATTATTTCGTATATTTTCCCATAAATTATTATTATTATCATTATTATTATTATTATTATTATTATTATTATCATTTTTCGAATTTTTCCCATGAATTATTATTATTATTATTATTATTAATATTATTATTATCACCATCATCATCATCATTATTTCGAACTTTTTCCATAAATTATTATTATTATTATTATTATTATTATTATTATTATTTCGAATTTGTTTTCTTCTTATTTCTCCTTGTAATATTACATTTTATTAATCTTTTTTGCTTCTTTTTTCATCGACATATCTTGTCTTTTCTCGCAGCTTTGTTTTTTAGTATCCTTACAGATTTTATTTTATATTCTCTTCGTTCCTTTTAAGATGGTTTTCTTCGGTATTTTTTTTAATATTTGCATCTCCCTTTTCCCCTCATCTCCGATTTCATTTTTTTTTTTTTTATCTTTCTTGATCTCGTTTTTATTTACTCTTCGCTTCTTCTTACGAAGCTATTCATTATTATTATTATCATTATTATTATTATTGTTATTTGCTCACTTCCTCTCCCATCTTCGTTTGCTGCCATTTACACTCCACACCCGTCCTTTTCCCAATGTCATCCGTAGACATTTTTCAGTCTTATTCTTATTTTCTTCACACCAACCCCACCTCCGCCAGACACGTTTTTATACATTTTTTCCGCCCGTTTTATAGATTTTTTTCCTTTATAAAAATTTCGAAAAATGACTTAATGAAATTGTAACGTCAACTTTCGGGTCTTCTGAAAGCTTAAATATTCTAATTATATTTGTTCATTATTGTATATCAGTTTAAAAAAATGACAAAAAGTAATGCCAGATATTTAAAGGAATAAAGAAAGGGTTTCAAATCAGAAAATACTGGAATATTGAGAAAATTATATTATAATATTCTCAAATTTATCTAAATTTTAGAATTTAAACTAAACAAGATTAAATCAAGGTTGCGTTTGATTACACCTTTCATTTGAAAATTGTAATTAAATATATTTATAAATTTTAGATAAAATAAGTATTTTTCCAGGATTACAAAATATCTCTTTATTTTACTCATGATAAAATACAATATCAAAATCATTATGTATAGTTTTACGACGATTCTATATCAGAAATTATTACAATATATCTCAACTACATTGTATAAGTTAAGTTAATGTTTAACTTGACAAACTGTTTGTTGGCTTAGGTAATGATCTATTCTTTACAAGCCTTAGTTTTACCCAAGTAAAACCCAGTATTTCAGATGTCTTTCGACAAGGCAGATAAGTCCACTATCACTGAGAAAACTATCGCTACTAAACATTTATTTCTACCAAATTTTGTACCGAATAGTTCAAAGCTAAACTTAGCAAATCTCAATAACTTGTGTTTTAATGACAAGTGACAGTTTTGTGGTTATAACTTTGGTAGAGAAGACAAAGTTGTATGCAAAATATCTGAAATTCGTTAAAATTCTTCAATTGTAATTGTGTGACTTTAATTTATTTTCTTCCGTAGTCATTTTTCAATCAAACTCGGGTACATATGATTTTTGTTTTTGTTAATAGCATATAGCTATCGTAGAATATGCAAATTACAAACGCACTTATGGCTAAAATTTCGAGAGGGGACAGTGTTGCGTCAGATGTGCTGTGGATTGAAAGTTTAGTACCTGTCTGGATATACAAATTTGAAAACGTGGGTATTATACAATAAGCTGATATAATATCTACTTTTGACATCATCATCATCATCATCATCATCATCATCATCATCATCATCATCACCACCACCCTCATCATCATCATCACCACCACCTTCATCATCCATAGTTCTTACTCCTTTTATATCATTTATTTTTATTATTATTTGTAATTAGTAATTATTATTTTGTAATCTTTTTAGTTGATTGTTAGAATCCTGACAGAAATTATTGAACTCGTTTAGTTTTTAGTGGAATCGGGTATCTCTCGCTGTAGATCAGGTAACAGTATGTCTCCTTACCTCACCAGCACCTTCCTCGGTATTCTGATTGATTTCAGTGTTGTTGCCAATTTTAGTTCTTCTAACCATTCTGAAAATCTTTTAGGAACTTTTACAAGCTCCCCAACTATGACGTGTACATTCGTCACCATATATTTTTTTCAGTTTTCAGGGAAGGTCCTGATTTTTTTTTCCGTAGAATGATGTAACGGCAACATCCGTTGATAGATTTTTTTTTCTAAGGATATTTATTATTATATTGTTAAGCGTTCATTTTTCACATGACTAGGCGTATCTGGTGGCTCTCGTAATTTCTTTAATACTCCAGCACTCTCTTCTTCTCCTCCTCCTCTTACTCGCCCTCCTCCTCATTATTTCAACATTGTTATTATTATTATTCACTTATTGTGAGCACACCAATAATAACTGATAGCTGAGTGACCAAGTGACAACATGCCCCCTCAATACTTCAGCACTCCCCGTAATATTCTTGCTATTTTCAGTAATGCTGTCGTTTGGATGTCCCCAACTAAATCCTGATTTACTATTCATCTAATGTTTATTTGAGACATTTGAAGACTGTTTTCTGATAATCATTGACATGACTGACATATTTATTATTATTATTAATGTCGTTTTGTTAGATTTATGCTGTTATTGTAATCGATTTTATATTTTTAATTGCTTTGTTATTAATTTATTTTCCCTTTCTTCTTCTTCTCCTTCTTAATCTTCTTCTTCTTCTTCTTCTTCATCTTCTTAATTTTCTTCTTATTATTATTATTATTATTAATAGTAGTAGTAGTACTAATACTAGTAGTAGTAATGTAATTTTAATATTTTACCAAATTTAGGCAAATCTATTTTTGATATTATATTAATTTCGCAATAAACAATATATTGCCTTTAATGTGCAATTGAATTTGACAAGTGATTTTTGTGTTTACTATTATGGTTTCTTCCTTCTTCTCCTTTTATTATTATTATTATTATTATTATTATTATTATTATTATTTTTATTATTATTATTATTATTATTTTTGTTATTATTATTATTATTATTATTTTTGTTATTATTATTATTATTATTGTTATAATTATTATTATTGTTTCTTCGATTGTTTGTTTCTTTTCGTTTCTCTCACGTAAGTGTTGTCCTTAAAATCCCAAAAATTATCTCCTAAACAACTTGACTCAAATTTTATTTTGTTTCTTAATATGTTTCAAATTTTCCAATTCTTATCGGACACGGGAAAATACCTCAAAATCATTTTCGGTTAACGAGAAACGTAATAGTAAAATTTTTTTCTCTTGCTTAAGAACTCCCCAAAAGTTAACATAATGGCGTCAGAAAAATACACATCTACCATGATACAATGAAAAAGAGCCTCACTCGATAGATGTTTGCCAACCATTGCTTTGTTTGGCACAAGGCGCATAAACTTAAACAGTATAAATGAGCTACTAATCTACACTTGCTAACTAATACTCCACGGCAACGCAGTCCTGTTCCATTCGAAATAGTAGGGTTTTTTTTAATCAATAATGAAAAAAAATATCGTACAAAAAAAAAGTAGCACGCTAATCATTTTTCTTCTATTTATTTTACTTTTGTCATTTTTTAAAAATAAAATTGCAAGAAAAATTTCTCATAATAAAATAATTAAAATGACCCGCACAGCTATCAGCGATTTTAAAATGAAATCAACTTGATCAATTTGTGACGCGGTCCACAAAATGTTACCTTTATTCACTTTTTTCATGGCAACGGAAAGAAAGACTTCATATTTAGCTTTCTATTCACGTCTTTTGTATTAAAAAGCCTTACTTGTAAGAAAAATTGATATTTACACTGATATTCACGTAAAGTGAATTCTAAAACTGGAAATATTTTGCTGACTTGATACCAAGCACAGTGAGTTTATTTACAACTTAACCAGACCTAATAGATGCATGGTAGACATATGACAAAATTAAATCAGCCTTAGAAGTTAAAAAAAAAAGAAGAAAGAATAAAAAATTGAGTTCTATTTACAATATTATGAATACAAATAATCATAATTATTATAATGATAATCATGGCTGTAATTGGGATTCTAATGACGTTATTTCAATAATATAAGCAGTAATCTAAAAGTGACTGAATATTATTTCCTAATATGATTAATAAATGGCAGATCTAACAACATCTTTCATTTCATGTCTTTAATAATAATAATAATAATAATAATAATAAGTTACTTTTCACATCTTGCGTACATTTCCCTATCTATGAAGTGACCACAATTACATTTTTCTTTCTGGTTGCATGAAACCTCATCTGTTTGCATCTTCTGGTAGAAAAAAAAAACTTGTTGTCTCTTGAAGCCACTAGTTGAGACTTGTGGGTAACTAGTACTACAGAAAGTGGAGTCAAAACACAACAACAATAAGAATAATAATAGTAAGATTACTTTGTGTGGAACTGCAGATATCATCCGCAAAACACTATCCATCTAAATAAAACGTCCCAAATAACTCTCATAAAGTACCCTTTTTATTGTGTCGGAAGATACTAAGTAAAGTGCTGGAGATTTAATATCAACCAGTGACTGAGAATAACTATCAAAAATATATTAAAAGCATGCATTAAACAACAACAGCAACAATACAAATAATAATAAAAAAAAACAACAACAACAACAACAACAATAATAATAATAATCTGTTTTAATATGAATTACAAAATATTGTGTTAATGAATTCTCGTTACATATTAAAAAAAGAAAAGAAAAAGAAAACTCTTTCAGTGACTTCCTAAAAAAAGGTTTCGTTTACTTAAGGTCTCAGGTAAAAGTCTGCTAAATGATTATATCAAAAAACAAATAATAAACAAAAAAGAAATAATATAAAGACCACGTCGGGTAATCGATGAGTAAAAAATCGTTGGAGATTTTTGGAGAACTGCTGCCGCTCAGTATCCAAAGATAACGGCCAAGCAGATGGGGTGAACATGCACAATATTAACAACAACAATATTACTACTACTACTACTACTACTACTACTATTAATAATAATAATAATAATAATAATAATAATAATAATAATGACCCACCTTTATTTGAAATATGAAAGACTGTGTTAATGACTTATATTTACATAGAAAAATTGTTTCATCTACTTTCGAAGACTTACATTAATTCTCAAGTGAAAGTCTTATTAAATGATTGTACCAAACAGAAAATAAAAACCAACAACAACAACAATAATAATAATAATAATAATAATAATAATAATAATAATAATAATAGAAGACCAGAGAATTTTAAACTTCAAACGGAGCATGAAACGGATAAGTCTAGTCATCGTAAACAAAGAAAGGCTGACTTGTCACTAAGGTGATGTCGATGCTCCAGCAGACTACACAATGAATCTTAGAGTGAAAAATTAGAAGAAAAAAAAATCCGTACATTGTTAGAGAACTAAAAATAATAAAACTGGGAGATGAAGGTGATGATTGCACTCATCATTACTGGATAGGTTGGAATGGTTCCGAGGAACTATGCAAAGAGAAATGAAGATAAGGGGGATAATTGGAACCATCTGAACAGTAGCATGACTAAATTCACTTCGAATACTGAGGAAGGTGCTGAAGAATTAAAGAGTTGCTATCATCTGATCTCTCTCAAAAGCCCCAGATACTATTGGTAGAAAAATTCAAATAATAATAATAATGATAATAATAATAATAATTGATAGGAAAATAGTAGGGACAATAGAGAGGGGTGGTGGTGGAGTTTGTGAAGATGATGATGTCTATAAAGTAGATATTATATCTAATATTGTTGAGCCTCCTGTGAGTATAACACCATATTTTCAAATTTGAATATCCAGACAGGTACTAAACTTTCAATCCACAGCACATCTGACGCAACACTGTCCCCTCTCGAAAGTTTAGCCATAAGTGCGTTTGTGATTTGCATATTCTATGATAGCTATATGCTATTAACAAAAACAAAAATCATATGTACCCGAGTTAGATTGAAAAATGACTACGGAAGAAAATAAGTTAAAGTCACACAATTACAATTGAAGAATTTTAACGAATTTCAGATATTTTGCATACAACTTTGTCTTCTCTACCAAAGTTATAACCACAAAACTGTCACTTGTCATTAAAACACAAATTATTGAGATTTGCTAAGTTTAGCTTTGAACTATTCGGTACAAAATTTGGTAGACATAAATGTTTAGTAGCGATAGTTTTCTCAGTGATAGTGGACTTATCTGCCTTGTCGAAAGACATCTGAAATGCTGGGTTTACTTGGGTAAAACTAAGGTTTGTAAAGAATAGGTCATTAACTAAGCCAACAAACAGTTTGTCAAGTTAAACATTAACTTAACTTATACAATGTAGTTGAGATATATTGTAATAATTTCTGATATAGAATCGTCGTAAAACTATACATAATGATTTTGATATTGTATTTTATCATGAGTAAAATAAAGAGATATTTTGTAATCCTGGAAAAATACTTATTTTATCTAAAATTTATAAATATATTTAATTACAATTTTCAAATGAAAGGTGTAATCAAACACAACCTTGATTTAATCTTGTTTAGTTTAAATTCTAAAATTTAGATAAATTTGAGGATATTATTCTGGATTAAACTTTTCAATAGTCCAGTATTTTCTAACTCAAGCGATATTAATTTGTGACTATGAGACCAAGTAGTTTCTGCACAAATCAGAGACCGTTCTGAAAAATATTAAAAAAAATTAAAATTTTTTAAGCCCATATCTGAAAATTGAAAGTAAGGGTAAAATAAGAAATTGCTAGTTCGTGGACGCGGCCTTGCTGGCG